GCCCCCCCCCCCCCCCACTGGGCAGGGCTGGAACACATTTACACAGGGGCTTTAACGGTGACAGCTGATGCCCCCAGGCTCAGGGGGCCCCGCAAAAGGAGAGGTTCAGAGAGCGAAGGCCCGCCAGTAGGGGGGCAATTGCGCTTTTGATGGCTCGGAGATCTTTTTGCAGAGCCCCCCTTTATTCCGGGATCCTGGGCTGCAGCCCCTAAAGCCCCTTTCTTAATGTGGCTCAGCCCCAGCCTGTTGACAGTGAGGGAGGAAGGATGGAGTGAGTAGGGGCAGGGCCTCAGAAAAGGGGCGGAGCTTTGGGAAGGGGCAAGATGTTCAGTATTGTGTGCCTAGAAAGTTGACAACCCTATAAATGACTGATGGACCCAAACAGTCACTTGGAGATGATTACTACACAGGGTTGGCTTTGAGCAGTTACAAAAAGCTGGGCATGCTTTAAGCACCTGTAGGAGTCTGGGTTCTGTTGCAACATGTTGTATTTCCAGGTTTATTATTCATACATTACAATTCGTTTTGGTGGCTGATTTGTTGCCTTTCCACAATTGCAATCTGCCTCTTCATGCACTGAGGTGCTGGTCTGTGGACGGTTCGATCCAGTTTGTCTGCAAAGAGAACTAATGTGGAGCAGTGGAGTCTCCCTGGAAGGAGGACAAAGAACCGGGTGGCCGTGGTAGGACTTAGAAAGTCAGAAGGAGTCAGAGGCGAAGAGCAGGCTTGTGCAGGAGAGAGGAAGGCAGCATGTTTTCACAGCAGAGCAGTCTTGTTTAATGATGGGACCAGGCAAAGTCAAAGGAACCTGAGCTGGAGAAGAGAGGAAGATGTCCTCATTTGGCGGATAAGTCATCTGCTTAGCCACCTCAGAGAACTCTGTCCCTACGCCCAAAGAACGCTCTTTGGTGAGCGAACTGAGGCAGGGAAATGTGTATCCATGGGCAGGTCTTTCATTATTGTATCTTGCTCTGTAGGTCTTCTGTGCTGCATAAAGCGTAATTGTGTTTAGAAACCTTTGCAAAGCCTATGAGTAAGTTGTCAACACCAGTGACATGTCCCTGAAGATATGAACTGTGGCTCAAAGTAACCACAAGGTGGAGCTCTGGAAAAGGTGCGCGTTAGCTTCTCCAGTGGTTCTATAACTGCAGCCCGTGGACCACTAGTGGTCTGCAGTCACGTTGTGGTTGGGCCCTGGCTCAAGGCTCAGCCCCCCTGCAGTGGGGAGGCCGCATCAGTGCTCCAGCCCTCTACCCCACTCCCCTGTGAGGTTGGAGCACCAGTGCTGGCTTCCTGCGGCGGGGTGTGGGAAGAAAGCCCCAAGCCTCACCTCGAGATGCTGCTCCTCTTCCTCTTCCCCCCGGTGCTGCTTGGAGGCTTTCCCTGCTGCTCCCATTGGCCGGAATCACAAAATGCTGAATTCCACTCTGTAAACCGAAGGCATTTTGTTACCCTTGGGCCAAATTCATGCCTAGAATAAATTTACCCAAGTCAGTTTGGTTCCACCATGGGTGAGTTTGGCCATTGCCTGTGTCTGGACAAGGCACTTGCTTGGTTTGGGGCTGCCTGTGGACACAGATGTTTTGGCTTCCATTTTCCAAGGTGTCTGAGTAGTGATTTTGGATGCCACCATTTCTGGGGGCGCCACTGGAGACCCCCTAAGGGAGCCCGGTCTTCAGGGGGTTCAGCGCACCCATGTTCTGAGAGATGTCTCAGTTTGGGCACCCAGAAACACAAGTCACTTTGTCCAACGTAAGTGCCTCTTTAGCCTCATCGGAGCAGGAGCCTTTATCATGTGCCCTTTCCCTCTAGGTGACAATGTCCTGAGCTCTCCTATGGAAACTTACGATACGTGGAGTGGGAGGAGGCTGCTGCAGGTGACCGAGGAGAATGCCACTGAGATCCCAGAGGAAGCTGAAAATCGATACGTGAAGAACTGCACTGAACCAGGTAGGAAGGAATAATTCCTTCTCCTCCTCTTGAGCCAGCCATCCTAGCTACTGAAATTCTGAGTTGGTGTCACCAGGGGACTTTGATTGCACAAGTGTTGTATCTATTAGTTTGAGAGTCATACCACACTCTAACCCTGTATCTCCTGGATGTATGTGTAATATTAATGTTTCAAACTCCCTCTCCTGAGGAGTACCCCAAATGGGCAGCTGTTGACTACTATTTCAGGACTATGCACAGAGGGATGGTTTGCCTGTTTACTGCCTGGAAATGTAACTCCAATTTTGGCACAACGATCAGGAGTCAGGTAACCGACTCTCACCACTAGGATCACAGTCAGGAAATATGGGATGTTTTCTTATAATAAACAAAAAAAAAATTATTTTAGAGGAGGGATTAGACCGAGGTGAAGCGCTGCTTTTTGAAGCCACTTTTACCAAATTGTTTGTTTGCTTATTCTAAAAGCCTCACATCTTTATTTTGAGGGATATATCCTTTCACTGTCATTTAAAATAAACCTCTCGCAAGTCTACACAAAACTATCTCAACTTTGCCTGGGGGTGGGGGGGGGGGAGAATACGGATTCTTTAACTTGCATTCACTTGATCATGTATCACATTTGTTATACTTAGCTGAAAATTAAGATAATAAATCAGTAGTGGTAAGGGAAGCTTCATAGGACATGCAACCCTTTATTTTTTTTAATGGAAGAATTTTGATGTGGTTCAAAGTAAGGGAAAGTACTTAATGCAGTTCTGTATTGTTCAAAGGATTATATTGGTTAACTGCTTGAAAAAATTCTGTTAAATACAGTTTGTATTGTAACTCTGCATATATATTTCCCCCCGTAATCCTTAATAACATTTCTGAGACAGTTGGAGGATTGTTCCATTTTCAAAGACAAAATATATTTCAAAAATTATTATACCAACTCTTTCCTTGATTATAATCCTCCCATGCAAAGAAGATCCCTTCTTACACGTTCATACCAACATTTGTAATAATCTGTCTCCCTCCCCTTCTGAGCTTTAACATCTGCTGTCTCATCAGCATAAGCCTTTCCCATTACCATCCCAGACTAAAATTTGTCTATTTGAAATGTGTTTTTTGTAGAAATGTAAAGAACAATAATCACAGGAGTTAACTGTGCGGCTTCTGTGAGATAAAGTGGAAATGGTAATGCCAGTTACAAATGTTTCCATCAATTGCCATGTGGTGCTGAAGTGTGTTATTTTATGGTATTTATGAAGCTAATTCACACGTCACTGACTACTGTGGAAAAGTATTTCTAAAAATGATGTGTCTTTCTCTGGAAGCTGCGGCTGCTTTTGTAGACGACACCTAGCGGGTGCTAAAGGTGAAAAATACATGTCTTTTGTTTTTCTGCTAAATTTTGGAATAAGTCTTTGTGTAGAGCTGGTCAAAGATTTTCCGACGGAACACTTCTGTTGGACACGACTGATTCAACAGAATCAAAAAGTTCTTTGGGAACACATCGATTTTGCCAAACTTTTTGGTGAAACGCCAGCCAGGGGTGTCACCTGGCAGCCTGATTTCTTGCCAGCCAGCCAGGCCCTCTTGGCTTCCTGACCCTCGGACAGTCGGCGTGCTTGTGGAATTCGATAGCCCCAAGGGTTAGCTGCCCATGGACTTGAGCAGTTTGATGCACGCCAGTTGTCCTGGAACAGAATTTTTCATTCTTTGAAAAACTTCAATTTTTTTACATTTAGAAGGGGCAGTTCCCCTTCCAATTCTTACCTCCCCCTCTACAAATCAGAACTTTCCTTGGGAAGGAAATTTCCCAGACAGCCTTTCTGTTTACCTCTGTTCTAGAATGAAAAGAGCCTCCTTCTAAAAAAACCCCCTAATAACAGCTTTCATGTTTACACACGTGGACACGTGCATTGTGATTTCATTCTTTTCTACCGCTGCTAAAACAAAACTGATGTAGGGCCTGATCCAAAGTCTTTGAAGCCAATTTAAGTATTTCCATTGGTCCAGTTGGTTTGCATCTGGTTCGTACAGAATAACCTTTTCTGCTGTGATACCCACTTCTCAATTCATGATAGATGATGGAATGTAAGAAGTAGAAGGCAGACTCTGACAGGCAAGAAGACTGTAGTTGTAGAATGTATCTCTTTGCTGTTGTTCCCTAGGGGTATGTCTACACTAGCCCCCTAGATCGATCTAAGGAGGCTAATGAGGGTGACCGAAATTGCAAATGAAGTGCGGGATTTAAATATCCTGCGCTTGATTTGCACGTTCCTGGCCGGTTGCCATTTTAGAAATTGACTAGCCCGAAGTAACTGCCCACGTCTACACACGGCAGTGAAACGGGATTCCGAAATAAAGCCCTAACTCGAATTAGCTGGTAAATCTCATTGCAGGAGGAATACCAGCTAATTCGAGGTAGGGCTTTTTTTCGGAATCCGGTTTCACGACCGCGTGTAGACGCGGGCAGTTACTTTGGGCTAGTCAATTTCTAAAATGGCAACCGGCCAGGAACGTGCAAATCAAGCATGGGATATTTACATCCCGCACTTCATTTGCAATTTCAGTCACCCTCATTAGCCTCCCTAGATCGATCTAGGGGGCTAGTGAAGACATACCCTAAAAGAATAGTATAATTGTTTTGTTTCTTGTTTATCTACAAAACTACATTTTCATTATGAAACCTAGAGGTTTCTAACAACAATGGGTCAGAATTCTCAGGACATTTCTGTCCCTTGTATGTTGAAATGCTGATGGAACAGTTGAATGAAAAAAATTGTAATTCAGACAGTTTTTACATGTTTGGTTTTTGTCAGTTAACCTGTTGTGCAAATAGCAGACAAAATTTTGGGTAAAAATGCATGTATGTTTTCTTTTAAAACTGCGTATTCTTTTCGGTTTCTCTTCAGAGCATAGTCTTACATTTTGCTGTCTTTTTTCTTTTTCTCCTTTTTTAGGTAGTTTTTCAGAGAGTGTTCACTAATTAATCCAGTGAAAGAATTTTATTAATGAAGATTCACACAAAATACTGTGCTTAATTTACTTTGACATATGCACTTTCTTTCTTTCTTTCTTTCTTTCTTTCTTTCTTTCTTTCTTTCTTTCTTTCTTTCTTTCTTTCTTTCTTTCTTTCTTTCTTTCTTTCTTTCTTATCAGTAGATCTTTAAGTGGAAATGCAGGGCCATGTTTTAAGTTTCTGTAACAGCAGTATCAACACTGCTCAAGTTAATGCAGTTACCTTGGTATAACAGACAGACTCTGGCTCATGCTTGTTATTCTGTAGTACTTTTAATCACACTTTGAAATACTTGTAATTTCTTTCTGTGTGGAACCATCACTGGTTACTTTGTTGGAATTCTGAATGAAGGGATGAATTTGACCCATTATCTTTTGTAATTCACTGCTCCTTATGTGTTAACACAATTCCCTGTGGTCCCTTTCCATGGAGAGGGTGAGTCTTTTACAGCCCGTAGATGCAGAAGCTGGATCTGTAACTCAAGCTGTAGAAACGCCCCCTATTAGCTGTAGAAGATCCCTGGTTCACCTTTAGGTGTTGGCTGCAACTGGAGACCGTCATTTATTTACAAAACCTGTCAAACATCAGACATGCCAGGCTATTATAATATTCATCAGTACCAGTCTCATGTGCATTTCAGCAACATATGCAGAATTTGCTAGCTAAAGCGTGTGTATAATATATTTGGGTCACACACAGAGATCTGTTGACTTCCCTATCCTAGAAGCTACTGGAAGCTCCTAGAACCAGCTATAGAAGCTACAAAAGCTGGACATCCAAGCTAGAATATAGCCTTTTGGTTTTTTTTTTAAACTTTGTGAACAGAGATGAGATACATGTCCAGACTTATCACAAAAACCATACTTTGGCAAATATATTTATTCGTTTTAGCTGAGTATTCTTACTAGCTCCCAGCACCTGCAAGTGGGTTTGAAGTCCCTATTGCCTGGTATACAAGAGATTGGAGTTGGGCGGTAATGTGATTTATATTGTGGAAGCATGTAGGAGCTCTAGGCGTGAATCAGGACCCCTTTGTAACAGGTGCTGCACAAACCCAGAACAAAAATATGGTGCCTACCGCAGAGAGTTCAAAATCTGTGCATTTCTGCGCCCTTTGGCACAAACCTTCCTATCAGATCTGCGTGGGCGTACGCCATTGGAGCGCGGGTACTTCCGCACAGGCGTGTCTGATGACCTGTACTCCCAGAGATCACTTTGGTCAAAATTCTGTCCCCTTTTGCAGCCATCACCTTTTTCTCGCTGCCTGGTTTCAAAGCAGTGAGCAGTGGGATTAGGCGGCCCCGTGGGACTGATGCAGATCCCACTGAAGTCAATGGAAAGACTCCCCCGGTGCCTTCCGTGAGCTTTAAATCAGGTCCTACGTGCCCTCTTGTTCTGAGCTGGGAATGTTCTGTAGACATATAAGGACTGAAGTAAGGATGTAAAGTCCCATTTAATTGGTCAGCTGGTTACATATGATGCTTAACTGGTTAACCAATTAAAGGGGGCCGAGCAGAGTGGGGCTGCTCCAGGCCAGCTCCTTGCCCCCGCCCGCTGCAGATAGGGGCTGCTACAGCAAACAGAGCCCTCTTGTTCTGAGCTGGGAATGTTCTGTAGACATATAAGGACTGAAGTAAGGATGTAAAGTCCCATTTAATTGGTCAGCTGGTTACATATGATGCTTAACTGGTTAACCAATTAAAGGGGGCCGAGCAGAGTGGGGCTGCTCCAGGCCAGCTCCTTGCCCCCGCCCGCTGCAGATAGGGGCTGCTACAGCAAACAGA